TTATTATGAGGTATTAGGATAAGTCCAAGTTGAGTAGCGTGTATCTTAGTCACAAATGACGCCCAGGGAGGCTAACACGTTTGCTTGGTTTGTAATTTTTCAACGTTAATTGATTGAAAAGCGTTCAGAATAGAGTTATATAAAAATTGTGTAGCTGCCGTGGCGCAGTTTGTTGTGTGAGGTTTGTTAGCAAGCAAGTTTACAAGTCCCCATGGCCATAACTACTGGTACCTCTTGGCACGAATCCTACAAAGGGAAAGGTCACTGAGACGACGGAGACAATATGTGCCGTAAATAACGTGATTGATTGATTTCACGTGACAAACATATTGCGTAGCTAGGACAACGACTGATATATAACAGAAAGATAAGCGACATTTTTATTTCTTCTAATTTCATTATGTATTGTTTGAGCTAGGTTTGCCCCCCTCCCATAGTAAGAATTTCCTAAACCAAATCATAGACACCTGTTGATTTGTATGTGTATTCCCACCATAGAGGGCGATATAATAACTCAATAAAACTACCAATTGCAAAGCCGCCAATCAAGGCGTCGTAATAGCGACGTCATTTTATTAAAATTCTGATTTTTTGTGATCCACTCTGAATGTTGTGATATATTTATAATGTCATAAATACTTGTCTGATTAGACAAGGTTATATTCGTCAATCATTAACCAATTCTTACAGCGTTGCTATAAATACGAGTAAACATTGAACCTTTCAGATGTGACCAAGTCAGTTGTCGGTGGTCTCTATGTAAACTTATTTCAATGTAAAATCACAGTCCCTCTAGAGGGACTGTGGTAAAATGTAGTGGTGTAGATTTTGTTTCAGAACAGAAATATAAGGGCATTGGCGTAGCTTTGAAGTCGGGGGAAATATCGTACCTCGCTTGGCCTTAATTTAGGTTCCATAGATGCTAGTAACAAGAAACTTGTGGATATGAAACAACAATAGTATGGTAACAATGTTGTTTTATAAGTGATACGATTCCGTATGCGTTTGCAATCGAGAAATTGACAAACATAGGTATACACGTGAGTTCAGTGCCGTTCATTTTAGAGCTGCTACTACCACCCGATTTCATTTAAATCTGCCAGCATGTAAGAATTAAGTCTCCTGTTAAAATATTCCAGTTTAGGAATACAATTCTCTGTCAGGTCTGTGACGTCAGATATAAATTCATACATGCGATTGTGCAAATAGAACTGACAGGTTGGGTTGTCTTTAGAAAAGCAGACTACAGTTTATTGATCATGTGATAACAATGTCGTCATTATGTTCTATTGTTATAGGTGGTGCTGTTGTACTCGTCGTTATAGTAACACTGATAAGTCATGACTTCATTGGCGCCGACATGTTCAGGTTACCCTGCATCACAAGTGCATCACCCTGCATTACAAGTGCAACTACCTAACACAAATCAGTACTTTGTTACTACGCCTTCTAACATACAGTGGAATAAATGTTCACGGTTGTCTAAACAGAGACAACAGAACTTATCTCACAAAAATCGCACAACAATTCCAAATGACATTGCAGAGCTTTCTGAACTGAAAGAACTGGACTTATCTCACCGAAATCTCACAACAATTCCATGTGACATTACAAAGCTTTCT